CCAAGTCTCAATCAAGTAAGCGTAGGCGGCGGCGGCTTTAGATCCAGGTCGCCCTCCGGGTACTCCGCTGCTCCCCCTCTTCGACCATCATCTTGGTGCCGCGAGGGGGAGGGAAGCCCCAGTTTCCGTTCCGGCATGTAGCAGCCCTAGGTTTTTTTTTTTGAGTTTCCTCCGTTGGTATTATGGTGGGGGCTGATGCCAATGGTGCTCTTAGGCATAATGGTCTTTCAGCCTGTGCTTCCACTCATCGAAGGTGTTGCTGGCGCCGGCGAGAGGCTTGTGGAGTCCAAGCTGTTCGAGCGGTTTCCATCTGACGTTGCATCTTGGCGTGATGGCGGGGAAGAGCTGCTCTTGGAGTGTGGCAATGATGACTAATGTGGATTTGTGGAAGGCGATGGAGGATCTGGCCGCTTGTTGAAACGCGGGTTGGTGTTGGTTCCGGATCCGGCGTTGAAGAGGCTAGGAGGGCTCCTAAGGCCGATGTTGCTTATCAGGCTAGATCCAGCCTTCCAGGGTTGGTGGCTATCGTGGCTCGTTAATTTTTCTTTTTGAGAATCCATCGCGGCTCGTTGATGCCTCTGGCTAGGGGTTTCTTCAGCGGTAAGATGTGGAGCTTCTGGTGCTCTTCTTCTCCCGCGACGACGAAAATTATGGGTGCTTGATAGTTGCGGCGAAGATGGTATGCAACAGTACAATATTTCGCAGCCAACCCACACAATTTCGCATGCATGGATGCATCCACGCACGGCAAGCAAACCTACAACTCGTGGAGTGATCGAGGGGGAGGAAGCATAGTACACTCGGTTGTGCATGAATGCCGCACAGGGATCGCCGGCTGCAGTGCCGTGCGTACCATTGGATCACAGAGTTCAACAGATATAGTTCCTGCATATATAATTAATTGCTACTTCCTCTGTAAACTAATGCAAGAGCGTTTAGATCACTAAAATAGTGATCTAAATGCTCTTATATTAGTTTAAGGAGGGAGTATTATACAGAAGCAGTACTATAATCGGAGTGGTGCATGTGTTTCTTGAAAAGAAGTCATGCTGCCAAAACCTCTCTGTACAATGACCCCGCTGGCCGGGCCTATACGTGTCCTGTCCCGTTACTGCAAAACTCGACAGCCTTACGGTTACAGGCCAGCTCCAGCGTGTACGCAACGCAGGCATAGCGCTGGCTTAGATAAGCTTGGACGGTTTAAACAAATCATGATTGTGAAGGGCTCCATTTGCACCCGCAAGAGAGAGAGAGAGCAGGGCTCCATTTGGAAAAGGACAAAAGAACAGGGCATACTGAAGACCGAAATTAATGCCCGTACAGGTAATGACCGGTTCTCAGTTACTCCCTCCGTCCTATAATATAAAAACATTTTTTACACTAGTGTCGTGTCAAAAACATTTTTATATTATAAAACGGAGAGAGTATTTTTTTCCGAATCAAATGTTAGGATGGAGTACATCTTAGGGTCGAAATTAGAGCCTCTACAGCCATAACTTGCTAATTTGCACCCTAAATGCTCGCGGACGTGCATCGGCGCGTCCGCAGGCATTAATCGGACACATCTTAAATTTTTCTTCATACAACCGAACATCTCAATTAGCACCTCAAATTCATACAAATCCATACAACGTTGCGTAAACGATGTAACACACATCGTTCGGCTACTACATCAGAACATGTCATCGGACTACCAAAATTTGCCATATTCTACCTACATATTTGCCGTTCCAGACGTCCTTGTCGTCCTTCTCTCGGAAGTAGTGATCAAAAAACACAATATTGATCAAGTCGGATCTGCTCTTCGCGGTGTTGTCCGGCCCGTCGTTGTCCTCCTTCTCTTTGGAGGGCAGTTCGACCATGGCATAGACTGTCTGATTCTGTTCTCGGGTGAGGGTGCGTGTGTTCCTCCGTTGTCGCTTCTTTACAATGCGGGCGCGGATGGCTTCCTCCTGCGCGGTAGCGCGCGCCGCCATGTCGGCAGCGAGGCGGGCCTCGGCCATTCTCATCCTCTCCTTCCCACAACGGGCACACCGGCCCCGATAGCTCTCATACTCCCACCCTCCCACCTCCCCCCGCCTGCGAGATGGGAAAGTTAAGAGACCGCGATGATCTAGCCCTGAAGGATCCGAGCGCCTGTTGCACCGATCCAATGGATTTGTGTCAGACAAATCCCGTCGTGGTTGGACGCAACCCTCTTGGGAGTGGCGGAGGGCAATGCGGACGGCCATTGCCTCCTCCAACTGCATGGGATGACACCCCAGTTGACAGATCCAGAGTGATCGTAGTCAGATCCGCTGCCCGCCATGTCGGGGAGCTGAGTGGAGTGAAGTGGCTAGGGTTTGGTTCGGAGAGCTGATAGGGACAAATATATGTGCGTCGAGTGGGCCAGCATGGGCCACGCCCGGGTCACCCCGTATGCGCCCCATATTTAGGCTGGATATTAGAGGTGCCGGTCATTTCGGGGGTTTGAGTCTGATTTGAGGCGCCCGCCTGGATCGAGTTTATTTGTCTGGTTAGTGACTTGGCCATCCTTCCAGACGTTTAAGGAGAGTTTGAGGCGCCTGACTGTAGATGCTCTTAGATGAGAAGAAAATGGATGGTGAAGTACACCTTATAATTTGAAATGGAGGTAGTAGCTTTTATTAATCAATGCCTACTCATTGTGGAGTAGACGAGTACTACTATATTTTTGAACACGGGGGGCATATATTTGGATATGTCACTATGTCTCATCTAAATGTATAGTATACCGTTGGATTTTATATTGAGATTTGTAGGTTTTTAATATTTTTTGTTTGGTTAAATAAGTAGTTTAGGTGTTGGATGAGGATTTGTCAATTACTACCAGGACGGAGGTACTATCATCTACTCCATCCATTCTATCCTATTCGTCTCAAAATTCTTGTCTTAAATTTGTCTAGATGTAGATGTACCTAATACTAAAACGTGATTTGATACAGTATGTAGACAAATCTAAGATAAGAATTTTGGGATGGAGGAAGTATAATGTAAGACGTTTTAGATACAATTAGCAAATTCGCATATTTTTTTGACATGCATGGCTTCTCTGCTTGGAACTTGCTAACTTAACTTTCTAAGTTTAGTTAGACACTTAGACGCACGTAGCTCCTCGATCTCTAGCTAGGTCGACCCATACGTGCACAGTTCACGGTCCGTGCCCCACGAGCAAACGCCGACGCACGCGCAATCTAGGCAGCCACCTCCCCAACTAACTCACATTAATCACCCTCGATCCATCACGTTGCCACGACCGCCGTACGCACCACCCTGGCCTTCTCGATCGATCCGGCGTACATTTCACCACCTGACCAGTGAATGATCACTTGATCAGCAGGTACCACATGTACACTTGGCCCTCTGCGTGCGTAACATCTATATATAGCCAAGCCCAGCCACACCACGTCGTCACACGCAAACCACCACGACCGACGACACGACCGAAACGAAAGAGTCGCCACACGAGTGCACTTCGCTCGCGATCAAGCCATGGCTTTCGCGGCTCGCCGTAGCGGTGCACTGTTGATGACGCTGGTCGTGGCGGCGGCTGTGGGGCTGGCCGGCGCGGACTTCGCGGCGGACAAGGCGGAGTGCGCGGACAAGCTGATGGGGCTGGCGACGTGCCTGACGTACGTGCAGCTGACGGCGACGGCGCGGGCGCCCACGCCGGACTGCTGCACCGGGTTCCGGCAGGTGCTGGGCACCAGCAAGCGGTGCATGTGCATCCTGGTCAAGGACCGCGACGAGCCGGCGCTGGGCATCAAGGTCAACATCACCCGCTCCATGAACCTCCCCTCTGTTTGCAACATCGCCGCCACCTTCTCCGACTGCCCCAGTACGTAACGCACTACTAACTCATAGTCCCATCCGATCGGCCGGTTTGCCGGTGGTGGTGCTGCGCCACCGTGCGTGCATGCATGCATGCTGAATATTTGAGTGGTTTTGGACGCAGAGATCCTTAACATGTCGCCGGACTCCAAGGAGACGGAGATCTTCAAGCAGTATGCGCGTGAGCACGAGGGCAAGAACGCCGCCACCACTTCGCCCACCGCCGCCGCCGCCACCGCCACCGGTACTCCTCTAGCCAGTTAACCAGTAGTACTCCTTAACCATCATTTTGTTCGGATCATACACGGGCGTAACATACTACTACTAACATGAGACTGGAAGAACGTGCCGTACGACATGCATGGTACACTCTACGCAACGCACATGGGTTGGGGGCATGGGCTTCCTGGGTTCCCGCTGCTTGCTTGCACGAGCGCGACATGAACGGGTGACGGGCCGACGTGGACGAGCGTGACCGGGAGCGACCACACTTATCATGCCCAGAAAGATACGGGCAACAGTACGCATTCATTTCACAAGCCATGCATTGCATGCATGTATGGCCCACCCAACTGTGCACGTGTCGTGTACCCGTCAGCCGGTATTTGGACCGTCTTAACTGAACTGTTTCTCTAAGTACTCCGCCTACATATACTAAAATGTGTTCAGATACATTGTTGCGTTGATTGTTGATTAGGAAATGGAGGGAGAGTAAGTAACTTTTTTTTTTGCGAAAGAGGGAGAGTAAGTAACTTGGCACGCTGCTGATTGTTGCGTTGCACCGGCAGTAACGACTTTACGCAACTGCACCGGCATCATGCATCATTCCGCACGGAAAAGCGCCTGCTCTTTCTTGGACACCTGATCAGTTACGATGCTTTAGTTTTGCAATGAAATTTAAGCCTTGTACAATGCAAGATGCTTAAAGAATGTGTTTAGAAAAACGAATTAATTTTTTAAATATTGGTGTTTATTTTGTGTGAGATAGACGCTTAATTAAGTACCCCGTATAAAGAGATAAACACAGATGCTAGAGAAGAATTCGGTTTATTTTACTAAGCATTTTTCCTAAGCACTTTGCATTGAATCAGGCCTATATACAGTTCAAAACTGTACATAAATCTTTCTTTTCTGCAGAATAAATTAGTATATCAGCCCACAACTGTGCAAGAATTTCTGTATAACTTTCTTGTACGCCTTGGCCGTGGCTGGTTGCAGGTACTGCCACCGGGAAGAGCGTGGACGCGACGTCCGGTGCAGGGAGGCACACGGTGGTCTTCGCCGTCGTCGTCTCGGCGGTGCTCGCCTCCGCCTTTGTTCTTGCGTGATGATAGGCTTGGCTGCGGCTGTAGGAAAGAGACCAAGGCATTTTCATGATTGTGTTGGGCTGGGCTGTGTAGTTTGCAGCCTTCGGCCTTCAGTTCGGCTTTCAGTTTGCTGTGTGTAGCGAGTGAATCCTCATCACAGAAAAAATAAATTGTTGTGCAGTGCGTGAGTTGCAAGTCTTTCTCTTCCCCCTCCCCAACCACTCCCTCTCCCCCTCTCTTTCTCTCCTTGTTGCAAATAGTTAGTTGCATTGCCTCCCTGATTAATTAGTTGAAGTTGCAAGTTGCAACTGTCCTACCGAAATTTCATGTCGCGGGTTGATTACGATATCAAGAGTTTCCCCCTTTGTTTTCTTTTATGGAGAAAGAGGGTGTGCAATCAATATGGGTAACTGATTTCTTAGATGATAAGGGTATGCCTTGATGTTCTTTGAAGAACAAGCACAAGAATTGTGTGTCTTCTCATTAAGTGGGGAGAAAAGATCGCCGAAACAAAACTACCCCCATCGAGCTCCATGTGCCTTTCTCATTCTCAGAGCTAGCCCCGCCCGGATGGGGGCCAATGACGACTATGGGAGCGAAAGAATATTGATAAGACTTTGGTGGTCGATGTGTCAATTCAACTACACCTGTGTCAAATACTTCGGCCAAAAAAAATACTAGTGATGACAACAGAGTGATTTGGTTGTTGTAGGTTGCAAAAAAGTAAACACAACTAAAAAATACCCAACAGTTGGTGGGTATCATCTATTAGAGGGTGCTAACCGTTATGGAGAACATGGATGGATAATACGACGTTACACGGATGGCAGAATCATAGCATAATTCAAATAACAAGGGACATGAGTCGTAGCTCATATTCTCTTACTCTAGAGCATGTAGTCCGTCTATAGTTGAACATGCTTATTTAGTTATTTTCAGAACTTGCCCAGCGTGCATTTCCCTAACATTTCATGTCACGAGGCATCGCAATTGAAACTAAAGGTAGTTATGATGTCTTTTTCGCAAGGCAAATACATCAACACATTTTTTGGGTGTGAATACATGAAATTCTCAAATTAAAGCCTCCTCTATGATACCATGACCAGTCACTCTCAGGGTCGCCAATTGAGACAATAAAGATGCATACAACTTGCAAGTACAACCCAAACACATAGGTATTATAAAAAAAACATGGTTCAAATATGAGATCATACTACTCACACCCTAATAATGTGCATTAAGCTTAACAAAATCATAGCAGTAGTAGTTTAATAACAATAATCATGCAATAGATCAAAACCCTAAAGATTTTAGCACTATTACATGATTGGCATCACCCAATCCCCATCCATCACATGTTCCAACATTTAATTATTCACACATGGATGGGAAATACATGATGGAGATGGGTGAAGAATGAGTTGATGGAGTCAATGGCGAGGAATCCCACTCTCAGGAGGAGAATCAACCTCCAAACAACCCTCCTGAACGAATAGCATCGATGAGGGTGGTCAGGAAAATATGTGGGAAATCATCTATGGTTCAAGACGGCAACAATCACTTATAGTCGGAGGAAGGATAGGAGCACGCGCGCGTGC